TAGCGGTTGGTGGCTATGGGAAACACACACATTCACGTCACTGGCCACGTGATTTCACTCAGCCACAGCAATGACTCTGGTTTTACCATCAATTTTAAGAGATAAGAGACTTTAAGCTGGAAGAGCCCAGGCTGTTCGGACTTGCCTGTCTCCAAATCTTGCCAGCATTTTGCAGGGGAGAAAACGTGCCCACCGAGGCAGGCCATGTCCCCTTGGTACAGACCCATGGAGGCCACTTCTTTTTGCACCCAGTCAACATCCTTCTATGTATTGGGGTCTTTAAGCTATGATGGGGTTCAGGGGGTTTGTGAATCCTTTGTGTACGCACATTTTACGTACAAGCATTTTTCTAGGGAGAGGGTACACATTCCATGGTTCTCAATAATCAGAATCACTGCTCTTTCCCTTTGCTTAGTGAGGACTAGCTCTCACAGCTTGGAGGTTCCCTCTTAACAACACAGCCCTCTGGACATCCAACAAAAGCCACAAAAGTAGGCCACGCCTGTCTTCTGCACCTGAGCCCTGTTCCTCACCCCTGCAGTTCCTGGCCCTCTGCCATTCCCACTTAAAGGCAGTGTCCCAAGCTGAAAACCACCTAGGCATGGTCTGGCCAGAGCAGATGGAGATTCCAGGTGATTTCTTTCCAGTGTCAAGGCCCTCCCTCATCCCTTCACGAGCTAAGGAGTCACCTCAACGACCTCATGTGCTCAGCATTTCCTGCCCACAAATGGACCTTGTTAGACCAAAAGCAGAAAGCCACACATCTAAGACAACTTTAGTATCAACAAAGAGATTATCACTAGGAAATTACTGGCAAATAAAACTGGCAATTATTCTCATCAAAAATGGATGGCTAAGAATTCAGGGCTTCATCCTTCACAAAACTTAAATGGCTTAATCTCTAATTTAATTTTTGAACTAATGACATCCTTCACACTTAAAAAGGGTAAGTGTCTACAATTAAATTTATTCACTAATCCCCAAATAAATTAAATTCCATGTTAAAGGCCCTTTGTGTGTATATGGATCACGACTTGGATTTTCAGTGGCTCTGGCTAGTCATTGTTAAAACAAAATATTCCATAAACACATCAATAATTATGACTGCTTCATAACGATCCTTAAAGGAAAATATGATACTCCCAGTTTAGGCTTTCTTTATTGACCAAACCAACTTGCTGGTCTAAAATTTCTTAAAAATAGGCCCATTTATTACATACTACTACTACTACTACCGTGGTTAGAAAGCAATGTGTAGGTAACTTTACAAAAAAACAAAGTATCTTATGGACATAGGTTGGCTACCAACCCTGAATAAGATTTAAAAGTATGTGGTTTGGGGCCAGGCATGGCGACTCAACGCCTGTAATCCAGCACCGTGGGAAGCCGAGGTGGGCGGTTCATGAGGTCAGCAGATGAAGACCATCCTGGCTTACACGGTGAAACTCCATCTCTACTAAAAATACACAAAATTAGCTGGGCATGGGGGCATGCGCCTGTAGTCCCAGCTACTGGGGAGGCTGAGGCAGAAGAATCGCTTGAACCCGGGAAGTGGAGGCTGCAGTGAGCTGAGATGGTACCACTGCACTCCAGCCTGGGCAACAGAGTGAGACTCTGTCTCAAAAACAAAACAAAACAAAAGAAAAGTATCTGGTTTGGAAAAAACCATTCTTTATTATGCAGACTTTAGGTAAATTGTTTTCCATTTAAGAATATCATGATCATTCCTACTACACAATGAGATTTAAAAAATACAGTCAACATATAAACATGCATATGTTACAACACCAGAGGAAAGGGAATGTTTTTCTAACTGAAATCCAGTGGGGAAGCCTTTTGTTTAGTAAAGCTGATGGAGCCCCGGCAGGGGGCTAACACCTCTCCCCTCCTTCAAATTCCATGAATATGAACTCAAACTCCAGAGGAGGCATTGGGAAATGGAATTAAGATATTTACAGGTCAGAAAACCCACAGGAATGTAAGGTTTCCTAAGAGCTTTGGAAAAGGCTTGAGCTCAGACCCATCGGGGGACCAGGAAGGAGGCAGCAGGACATGAAGAAGGGAAATTAGCAAGGAACCCCAGGGGCAGCGGGGCCAGCCATCTCCTCATGGGATTGGGGAGAAAAAACTCAAATACCAGCTTTGCCCAGAGCCCCAGATAAATATCAGACTGAGTCAAAATTCAAAGGCAAAAATACAAACACAGAAATATAAGCAATAAACAGAGGAAAATATTTTCAAACTCTTGGGGGTGGGAAAAGTCTTCCAAAATAAGCTTTAAAATCCTGAAGCCATAAGGAATAGAGAAACACATCACTCTATATCTGCAGGGAGAGTTGTATAATCAGTTACAAGACAAAACGCCGTGAGAAAATACCTGCAAGAGACACTGAGGACCAAGAGCTCACGTTCATCAGACACGAGGAGTCCTGGCAAATCCGAACAAAAGGCCAATCACTCCACAGCAACGGGAGAATCAATCGACACTTCTTCCCTCCCCATCCACTTTCCGCGATCACATACTACCTAAATGATGATGAAATAACGCTCTAATCTGCACAAATCCGACGAAGCTTAACGTTAGTGCTTCGGAGCTCTGGAGTCGGTCCCTTGGCTGGAACCCCAGGCCTGACCCTCACACGTCTAACTTAGGACAGGTACTCTTAACTTTCTAAACCTTAACATCTGGAAGCAACTATACCTACTTCGTAGAGTTTATTTTTTATTTTTTGAGACAGGATCTAGCTCTGTTGTCTAGGCTGGAAGACAGTGGTACCGTATCAGCTCACTACAACCTCCCCCTCCTGGGTTCAAACCATCCTCCCACCTCAGTCTCCTGAGCAGCTGGGACTACAGGCATGTACCACCAAGCCTGGCCAATTTTTTTTTTTATTTTTTATAGAGGCGGAGTTTCACCACGTTGCCCAGCCTGGTCTCGAACTCCTGGGCTCAAGTGACTCTCTTACCTCAGCCTCCCAAAGTGCTGAGATTACAGACATGAGCCATTGCACCTGGCCTGTAGAGTTATTTTCAGTATTAACTGAGAGATATGCCTAAAGAAGCACTGAGTACAGTGTCTGGTACACAGTAGGTGCTCTATAAAGGCTGGTTCTATGTTATTATTCGTTAACAGAGTAAATGTTGCACCTAACAGCAACTATCAAATCCTTCCCCACTTTCCTCCTGCCCACAAAATGTGGGGACAGGAGGAACATGGGGAAGCCTTGGAGCGAGCAGATTTCCCTTGGAACTGTACCCTAACACGTCTGCAGAGCTGCGGCATCCTGCTAACGGCAACCACTGCTGCTGAGGTCCTCTCGCTCCCAGGAGGTGAGTAAAGTGTTAGAGAACAGGCACGCCAGGTGAGACCCTGGGCACCTGGCAGACACTACCTGTGGCTCAGAGCCCCACGGGCACCATCTGCTCCAGACACTCAGGAGAGGAGGCGGTGAGAGGCCAGGCTGAGCAGCAGCCTCTCCACCTCCCACCCACGGCTGCTGCCTCAGTGCCCGATGGACCCAAACACAACAAAACACAATGGGGGACGGGCCCGGTGTGGGGACCCTGGGCAGGACCAGGATGGGCATTCAGGACCCTAGGAAGGGGACAGCAACAGAATGTGCCACGTTGGCACAAACGATGCTAGGCTACGATATATGAAGAAACAGATCCTGACTTCCTGTGGAAGAGAAAAATGTACACATGGGATCACTCTATAAAGCTGAAAACCAAGCTGTATGACCACCCTCGGGGGCTGAACTCAGAGGCTCAGCTGGCCTCCCGGCCAGGAGAGCTACGTGGAGTTTCCCACGGGTAGGGCAAGGATCAGCAGGACCCCATGTCCCAAGCAGGAGGAAGAACACAACTCTGGGTGATGTCGCTTCTTTTTTTAAAAAAAGTATTTTTTTTTGAGACAGGGTCTCAATCTGTCACCCAGGCTGGAGTGCAGTGCCACAATCATAGCTCACTGCAGCCTCTACCTCCTGGGCTCTAGTGATTTCCTACCTCATCCTCCCAAGTAGCTAGGACTACAGGCACGCATCACCACACTGGGCTATTACTTGGCTTGTTTGTAGAGATGGGATCTCACTATGTTGCTCAGGCTAGTCTCTCCTGGCCTGAAGTGATCCTCCCACCTTAGTCTCCCAAAGGGCTGGGATTCCAGGTGTGAGCCACTGTACCCAGCCTGGGGTACCATAATTTCTAACGACTTCTTACTCTTCATCCAAAAGCTTCAAGGATCCTGTTATCATTAGATTCCAAACCAACATTTAGTTTAAAAACCAAGAACCTCCCGAAGTACCTGCCGTCTTTACCAATCACTCCAACCTTCCCTTGTTGCCGGGTCAAACCAAGTCCTGCCCCTGAGGCAGCAGTGGTCTACTTAAACACAAGCCAGCAATTCTGAGGCCTAGTCACCAAAACAACTTATGATGCAGACACTTCTGTCTTCTACATTTTCTCCACTGACATGGACATCACAGTGTATAATTTACACAATGAATTACTGCCAAAAAAAATCACAGTAACTATGAGAATGAAATACTGACACTGCCATAAAGTAAATGAGAGACTCGGCCAAGCACTCAGCTTCCACACAGCCAAAACAACTCTCTATTCAGGAGGCCTTTTATAAAATCTATCATTAGAAGAAACTTTAATAAGATAGCAAGTCACTATACACTAAGACTTATTTTTCTCTCCAGTGAGTGACAAGTATGTTAGATTCTGGAAGACTGTTAAGAGCTTAGTGATGCTTATTTTGGCTGAGAACACAAAGCCATTAAATATTTTAATAGAAATGAAGGCAACAAAAATTCTCTTGTGCCTCTATACTCATATTTGAATAAAAAATTTAAAAATCTTTAGCACTAAAAACAAGTAAAATTCCACAGTCAACCTGACATAAACTTTTTAGCATGAAATAGAGGTGGAGCATTTAGTATTCAATCAAAACGGGGCAACTGTGATTTTTAAAGCTTCATTTTTACGTGTCTCTCATGCATAATAAGCATATTTCAGAACAAGCTGGAACACAACATATACCAATACACAGAAATTAACATAAGTCTTAGGATATCAAATCTGTAACTTCAGCTTTAACTACAGCACAATGATCAACACTAGTAACGGAGAAACACACCTGTGTAGTAATACAGTTTGGATCTGTGTTGTCCCCGGTGTTAGAGGTGGGGCCTGGTGGGAGCTGACTGGATCATGGGGGTGGGTCCTTCAGGGAGAGTTTAGCACCGTCTCCTCGGTGCTGTTCCCATGGGAGACAGAGAATGAGCTGTGGTAAGACCTGGTCATTTAAAAGTGTGTGGCACCTCCCTGCCTTCCTCCTGCTCTGGCCGTGAGTCAAGACATGCCTGACCCCTCTTCACCCTCCTCCATGAGTCAGAGCTTCCCAAGGCCTCCCAGAAGCAAATGCTGCCAGGCTTCCTGTACAGCCTGCAGAACTGCAAGCCAGTTCAACCTCTTCTTTACAAACTACCCAGCCTCAGGTATGTCTTTATAGCTGTGCAAGAACAGCCCAATACAAGTACTAACTACGCTAGGCAAAATCCAAACGTTATTTTACCCGTATTTGCAAGAATGAAAGACAGGGAGAGGATATGTAAATGAATAAGGGAAGAGAAGGAATGCACTGGAGGCAGGAATTACAAGGGCCATTTTCATATCACACTTCATCACATAATGAAGGGTAAGAAAAAAAAATAAAAGGCAAGAACCACCAAATTCATGCTGAACTACATGAGTGGCAACAGGTGTGAACAGAGGGAAGGTGAGATGCTCCTTCTCTATGGCGTTTCCCAGCACCCACCCCGCAGCGTGGATGCAGGACGTGGGACACAAATAAGCATCTACAATGCCTGCACCTGTGCCACTTGTAATCCAGTTAGGAAATGTCCAAGCAAAAACTTCCCGCTGCGCATGAACACTGGAGTCCTTCCCAAGTATACACGTGCAACGAACGACAAGACGCTAAACCTCCCTGGTACACATATAAACATCCCATCAGGCATGGTGACTGACGATGGCATCATAGTTAAGACCATGGTTCCCAACCACCATTTATTAGCCCAAGTCTTGACTATCCTAAGTCTCAGTCTCTTCATCTGCCTGAGAGGGACAGTAACGGCAGTTCTCTTATCAGGCTGTTAGCATGAAGTAAGACAATATGTAAAAAGCAGCTTAGCATAGTGACTGGAATATGGAAATCCCTCAATGAATATTCAGGAAAAAAAAGAAGAAATCCTGGTTTGGGCTTTAACACCTGTTATAACTTAATTTAGCGTGATATAACTGAGATAGCAGGAAAGGTCAATGCTGAACAGACAGTAGCCGGATGCAAAGCCCTCAGAGGGGGAAAACCAGGGTGGAATTCCTCTTCATCAGTGAAAGGACAGCCTGGAGATGCCTTAGGGACCTAATCACAACACAGAAAACCACCATGAAAATGTACCAGGAAGGGCCCACAAAAATCACACTTTGAAAAGCCAGAACAAAGTAATGTTACTGAAATCAACTCTCTCTCAAGCAAGAGTGCTTTTACGTCTATGTGTGGTTAACGGCCCACTAGCCTCCGATTTTTAGTTTTTCCAAGCTAGTAAAATCTGGGAATTCAACTACATGACCTCCGAAACACACCCAATTCCTGAGTCCCGGATGCTCCAGTAGAGTTCTTTCGCTCCCATTCTTCCCTTTTTATTTGAGAAAATAAATAGGGTGTGATCTTCTTCTCCACCAACTTACAAGCCATTTTAAGGCAGGATATGCCTAAAAGGCAGCTGTAATCATTTTGAGCTTTCTCACAAGCAAGACTGGATCATGACAAATGATGATGATGACAACAGCGCTCATGAGAAAGGACACATACCAGTTCCACGTCAGAAGGGACGTTCAATCCTAAGGGGGCAACGAAGGGCTCTTCATTTTCCTCTAAATTTTCAGCCTCATTTTTTTCTGCATAAAAAGAAAATGTAAAAATTCAGAACAATGCAGGGAGGAAGGCACCTGCCAACAGCAGGCAGCAAGCCGGAAGCATGTGACTGGCTGTCCCTGCTTCTTTCTTTACCTTCTGTCATTACTTCTAGAAATCATTTTCAGCTTTCTCTTCTATTCCACCACATAAAGTGGAACTCACTTTACAAAATTCCAAATGAGGCAGGAGAGATGGCGGTGGGGGGTGGTGGCGGTGCAGCAGGAGTGTGTATAGGGTCACAGTGCACGGTATTCCCTTGGTGTATGCAGGGGATTGTTCTGGGGCCCCTGTGGACACCAAAATCCACATGTACTCGAATTCCGAAGTTGGCGCATTTGAACCCACACATATAAAAAGCTGGCCCTCCATCTATGCGAGTCTCGCATCCCTCAATCTGCTCTGTTTGCCTGAAAAAAATTCCTCATATGAGGACCTCCACAACTCAAACCTGTGCTGTCCACGGGTAGCTGCAGTTTAAACTCCTGCCCTGCCGCTTGTTAGCTCCAGGATTCTGATAAATGTCTCTGCTCCTCTCTGCTTCCTCACTGGCTGTGAAGGAGTTATAGCTTCTACTCCCAGGGCCGAGTGGGGTTTAGGTAAGACAACCTGCGTGAACATCTCTACCACAATCCTCCACACTTAGCAGGTACTCAATCCGTGTTCCTCTTCCCCTCCGGTTTCTCTTTTGGGTATGTATGTATGCATGTATGTATGTATTTAATTGCTATCACTAAGGTATCTCTCCAACTATTTCTGTGGATTCCTGACAGCATAACACAACACAAGGTAATCAATTCCTAGACAACTGATTTTCATCTTTGAATTCTAAAACACCTGGGCATAACTGTCAAGATTCCTCCACCCAAGCAAATTACCTTTAAAAAATAATCAATTATTTTTCCATTTCTATTTATTCATTAACCATTTACTTAACAAACATTTGTCTGCTCTGTGGTAGACAAGGTACTACACATTGTAACTTTCTGTATTCTAAGCTACCTAAGTATATCTCAATAACTCAGATGATTACCAGTTTGAAAAGATACAGTGAAATGTACAAAAATATCACAGCAAACTTTAAAAAGCTAACACTTTTAAGGATTTCAATGATCTACTGAGATTCTTATTTCAAAACAGATGACATTAAAGAAGTAAACCTTAAATCTTCATCAAAATAAATGTTCTATTATATACAGTAAAAGTGCCTGAAGCAATCAATAATTTGCAAAGATCTCCTGTCAAACCTCATTCTGTGAAACCAAGGAGCAATTTTAAGGAGGTTTCCTGGCACATAAAACTTGAGTATTCTGGTCTGATCAGATACAAGTTGATTACAATCCCTACTCAGTTACAGTTATTTAACACTGTCCCATCCACTTCTGTTTGAGTCCCCTGTTCTTTTAAAGATCAGAGATGAATGAGAGGGCAGATCTACTACTGCTTAAAAGCTCCCTGTAATTAGCAATCCTGCTGTTCAGCTTCAGTAACCAAATGACCTAGTGGAATTAGGAGATATCAGAAACACTGGTTGCAGAGATTTTCTATTGGCAAAACGCCAAGCAGCAGATGTGCCTTCTCACCATCTTTTTGGGAATGAGGCATGGGCGTGTGTTTTAAAACACAACTTTTTACAGTCCAAGGAAGACTGCCTTAAACAAAAAAATAATTAAGGCTAGGCACAGTGGCTCACACTCATAATCCCAGCACTTTGGGAGGCCAAGGCAGGCGAATCACTTGAGGTCAGGAGTTCGAGACCAGCCTGGCCAACATGGCAAAACCCTGTCTCTGTTAAAAATACAAAAATTAGCCAGATGTGGTGGAGGGCACTTGTAATCCCAGCTATTTGGGAGGCTGAGGCACAATAATCGCTTGAACCTGAGAGGTGGAGGTTGCAGTCAGCTGAGATTGCGCCACTGCTCTCCAGCCTGGGTGACAGAGCGAGACTCTGTCTCAAAAAATAAAATAAGTAGCCATAAAAAACGATGTGTTCGTGTGCTTTGCAGGGACATGGATGAACCTGGAAACCATCATTTTCAGCAAGCTGACACAAGAACAGAAAATCAAACACTGCATGTTCTCATAGGCAGGTGTTGAACAATGAGAACACATGGGACACAGGGAGGGGAGCATCACATGCTGAGGTCTGTGGGGGGGGACTAGCGGAGTGACAGTGGTGGGTAGGGAGTTGGGGAGGGATAATATGGGTAGAAATTCTGGCATATAGGTGATGGCGATACACATTACCATGTATGTACTTATGCAACAATCCTGTATGTTCTTCACATGTACCCCAGAACCAAAAATGCAAAATATATATATAAATAAAATGAATTAAAAGAGACAACTTTTACTATATTTTCCTAAAATGAAAAAAATGATTAAAACATTGTCTATGTAAACAGCCTTTCCTTAATGTTAAATTGTTCACAAAAATAAAGGCATTCTAACTGAAATAGCCTTTTGGGACGGATGGGTGAGATCTGTTCTATTCTTACATAAATACCTTAATTTACAAAAAATGCCTTTAGTAGCACAAAACAAAAACCAACCACTGCAATACAAACTCAGATGCAAATAAATTCAAATAATCTCGTTTAAAAGATGGATATATAGCGAGGACCTATCCCCACCCCCATTAGTCCCCTCAAAGAGGAAAGAAATGAATATAGAGTAAAGATGAAAAAGTATGAAAATCCAAAGGATAGAAACCTGGCTGAAAATAGTAAAGATCACAGAGATGGAGGCGCCATCAAAATGCTTTTGGCTAATGTCACAAGGCTTTAACATACTAAAAAACATCAGAATAATTTTGAAAATGAAGACATTTGTAGACATACTGATGGCTCAGGAAAAAGATTTTTTTATTTTAACAGAATGTGACACTAAAAGTTGTTGTTAGTGGCACTGGATTCTAATACAATGTACACGTGTGTGCATGTGTGTGTGTGTTAAGTGTTTTATATTAATATTAATGCAAGTTAAACAAAATGTCAAGCTCTGAGTTTTATGTGGGCCAATTTCCATTAAGAAAATTAATTATCACATAAGGCAATGTTCTGAGAACATGATTACAGAGAGAAAAGAAGTAACATCGTAAAATACTAAGGAGAACTTTATGTTAAAAGGAAAGCAAACTAATCCTCAGAAAATAAACTAAGTCATGCTGAAGTTCTCAAAATTCAATAATCATAACAAACTCTACATCACGTAGCCCAATAATTATACTGAGACAATGGTCCACCATCTAGCATAGAGGCTGACGAACTATAAAATGCCAGAGAGCATTAATAAGTATCCTTGGCTATATGGGTCATATAGTCTGTTTCATTTCTTTAACTCTGCTGCTGAAGTGCAAAAGTGGCAACAGACAACATGTAAACTAATGAGTTTTTGCTGTGCTCCAATAAAACTTTGTTACTTTATTTCAAATATTTTAGATCTGTGGTTGGTTGAATCCACAGAGGTGGACCTGATAAGCTGACTGTATTTCAACTCTTCATTTGTGAAGTGGCAATAGTATCCACTCCTTCCTTCTGATAAAAAACACCGCAGATATAAAGCCAAACTAATGTATGTGGTTTAGAGATAAGACAACAAAATCAGAACCATCCAGAACCCTCGAAAGAACAGCTTATTCCAGATAAACGAATGGGTGTTTAGTTTTTAGACCTGCTAGAACATTTCAAGTGCATCATAACTTCTGAGGGACGGGTAGGTTTGAAAGTCAATGCAAAAAGTCTTAAAATATCTGAATTAGCCTTTAACACAGTATAATTAAAATCGCACTTCAAAGTTTCTCTAAAAGCTCATAAAACAGAGCTGTGCAACAGTAATTCTTGTGCCCATAAAGTAAGGAGGACTAAAGGGAGGGCACAAGGAAAGCCGGTGTGGGTGTTTGCCCCACATCCTACTACTCCATTAGGATCACGGCCCTTGGAGATCGCAGGTGGGTAGAACCCTAGTGCAGCCACAGGACAGAAGGGCAGACATCATTTTGCTTTAATACTAAACTGCTATAATTGCTTCATACTTGTTAAAAGATGTGTTACTTGGCTGCACGTGGTGGCTCACGCCTGCAATCCTGGCGCTCTGGGAGACCAAGGCAGTGGGATCACCTGAGCCCAGGAGTTTGAGACTAGCTTGGCCAACACAGTGAGACCCCATTTCTTTTGAAAAAATTATTGTATATTTTATAATAAAAAAGTTTAAAAAGACTAAAAAAAGGTGTTACTTAAAGAGAAACCAATGAAGTTCTGAATAACAGATTAGTTCTACAATTAAATCTCCATTTGATGTAATTCCAATTGACCATTCTAAACATTTGAATCAGTTCCCGAAGTTAAAGTTCTCCTTTGCTTTAAACAGAATATCCTGAATATAGGGACCCATCTTTAATGTGTCAGGTCCACGTTACCATTATTGGTAACTAATGAATGACCATGATGCAGTGCTGTGGCAGTGAAGCTCTCGGCGCTTACTGAAGTGACTATGTGTCTATACTACAAGTGGATATGTGTCTATACTACATGAGCCCAGGTTTTTCAGCAGGTCTACTTTTTATATTCAAAGTTTCCCATGTTAATCCAGCAAAGTATACAACTAAAATATTTAATTTAAAATACTGTGGTAAGTGCATACCCTAGGTCATACCAAGGCTACCAGGAAGCCCTGTTCTGTTTTCTGTGTAGCAATAACTCACTCCCATGTAGGTGTCCTCCCACTGGACACATGTCACTGTCTCATTTGTGGAGGGACCTGGAGAACCAGGTTAGTGAGAGGGCGGTGATGTTAACTTATCCCAGTGTCGCCTATTCTTTCACTGCCGCAAGAATGAAACCCCGAAGATATTAAGGAACACATTACCAACTTAGAAACAAACAATCTGGAGTAATTCTGTTACCTGAGTCAAAGAGAAATAAAACAATCCAGTGCATCAGCTTTCCACCTCCACTAATCATTCCTTTTCTAGTTTCCACTTCGTTTTACCAAAAGAAGGAATGGCACTCCCGCTCTCTCCTGTGGTTGCAGTGTGTTATCCCGGGTGCTGGAGCTGTGTCCTGCAGGCCTGACTGTGGTGCATGCAGCCTGTGCGTACGTGTGGGGCCCGACACCAGCGGCCTGGGCAGCCCCCTCACCTCTCTGTTTGGAAGGCTCCTCCTCCTCTGTCGGCTCTGACGGGTCGTAATAGTCGCTACCGTAAGTGAACCCCACAGCATTGTAGCTCCCATCCTCTGCTAGTGCTTCACTCAACCTCTTGTATTCTTCCTCTTGAATAAAAATGAGAATCTTATCAACAAAAATAGAAAATTACTGAGAAAAGCTTCACATATTTCTAAAGTTGTAGCTATCAGTAAAGCATACAACATACTTTTTTCAACCTCCTTTTGAGGTAAAATATTTTCAAAAATTCACACTTATATCTATCAATATGTACTTTTGTCAGTACATGTTTACCCACAGACAGCTGAATACACGTCTTTTGTGGAAAATTTCTTCCTGCTGAGAAAATTTTGGGATTAAGAACTGTATTAAAGATTGTTATGGCAAAGACAAGAACATCAATTTTATTTATACGATACTGTTAAAGAAGAACAGTTAAAGAGTTTGGTTTTTGTTTTTTTCAAATCCCAGTCTGCCCTCAAAAGCTGGGAAAATTCTTTGTGGCTCTATATATAAACTATCCTGAGGTCCTCTCAGAACGCAAAGACTCCTGTTTTTCCAATCCACTGGGTACTGTCAAGATAATATCAGAAAGAGTGAGTATAAAAAAATGAATGGGAGTAAATTTTTAAATACTTAAAAAATTTAAAAAGTTTGTTGCTAAGTAAGTTTGTCTTGAGCAGTACCTTGCCTTGCCTCCTCCTCAAGCAAGTCCGTATGCAAGGCTAAATACCTCTCTTCATCACACAGGGCCTCTATTCGCGCCTCCTCTTCAGACAGCTGATAATCTCTGTTCCATGTGGAATACTCAGCATCGTACTCAGAAAGGTCATGCAGGTGACCACGTCCATCATATCTGTAATGTGAACAAGCTGGTCAATAAAAGGAAATTAACGTCTAGGCTGGTGTGTGTGTGTGTGATGTTTTATATATATATATACACACACATACTTACCAATTAAAATAAAATAGAAATATTAAAACAAGTATAAAAACTCTCCCCAGACTTATATTTAATTTGGATAGTCATAGCTCACCTACTTTTAAACTCAAGTTATCTTAACAAAGTCTAAAAAATTCCTTTCCACAGTAAGATAAAATTTATAACTAAAGGCAAACAATCCATTATTAGCAAAAATGGTATCCACTTCACTGGCAGTTCTCACCATTATGGTTTGGTCAACCATTCAATGCCACTTGCAAAAAATTATTATTTTTTTCTGAAAAGTTAAATATCATAGCTTACATTCACACAAACCAAATACATAAATACCTATCCGTAAGAACCAAACGGTCGAAATTTCCTCGCTTCTCTCTGCTAGTCCCGAACTCTCAGGAGAGATCTTCACCAAAGAAACTTGCGTCCATTGGAGGTAAAATCTTGGCTAGGCTCGCCCCCTAGCCACTTGGCTGAGGAAATAAGTGCTGGGTTACGTGATAGAGAGACACACATACATCGGAACAGTGACATATACATGCAGTTTAAGGAGGTTCACTGGGAACAGAGCAAAACTATTAGAAGATACGGTATTAATATTTCCTTCCGAACTTTATACCCGCAGGAAATAACATACATGAAGACACATCCATGTTCTCTTGCATAGACCAAGCA